ACTTAAAATAACTATTATGCCTCACACACACACACAAATGACCTACTTACCTACCCACTAAAAAAATCAAGGGTCGGGGGACAGCAAACATAGAATTTTTTAAGGATGGCCTTACCGATAAATAACCTGAAAATAAAACCTAATAATACGGAATAAATAACCAATCGCCGTGGTTACGGAGGGTCGTAGTGCGATGGGTCGCTATCGAGCGCGTGGTACGTACGTGCGCATGTGGCGTGTAGAGCGTTGCTCAGTTGTTTATATCGCGTCACGCTTTCTTCCGGCAGTTACTGGAAGAGAATCCGGACTTGTTTGGACTCCGGCGGTCCGGACGAGCGAGGAAGGAAGTCGCCCGCTTTCAGGCAGCGAAGGCAAGCTAAATCGGAATTTCTAATTCAGTGGAACCCCGATTTATCGCGAATTCGGATATAAAACGCGATGAGTTGTTGGTCCTTTTTTTTTTGCTCTTATATAGCCACGTATATATATAACCCCGATTTAGCGCGACCTCGCTTTTTTCGCGATGACATTTTATGGACCCCGACCATCGCGTTATAACGGGGCTACACTGTATCACGTTATAATATCACGCATCTCTTATGTGGAGTAACGAATCGGCTTATCCGTCCGAGCGAGTCTACCACGCACAACTTCAGATGCACGTTTTCCTGGCAACGATTCGCCAGAGCTACCTGTGGACGGGTCAGTTATATGACACCTAAAGAAAGGACTTTCCGTCTGGAAAGTCCGTTCGGATGGATAGAAACACGCGAATTGTACACGCGGGGTTGTTTCATGTTCATGGTTAATGCGATCGCTTGGGGGGGGTGGAATATGAAGTTTTATTTCGCTGACGTGATTTTGTTTCTGTAGAGCGATAGTGAGGAGGACAAGCCAAGGAGAGGAAAGCCGAGGAGAACGAGGTATGCGCACGATTGTATTACGTATACGTGTGTGTATGTACAGAACTGTACGTATATTATTAACACTACGAAGAAATGTATGTAAATTTCCACAAAGGAATACCAATAATAGTACACTACGCAAGTCGCGTGTATAATTGCATGAATGTATTTGTGTAAATTACATGTATGTTTATTTATTTAACGTTAAAAAGAAATACGAAAGTTATCGCAATTCAATACCGTCGACAAATATGTACACAAAATCGTGCCAACTTCGTGAATCTGCCAATATCGCTTTGGAACGAGCCCAACAAATCGGTGCGCGCGACGCGTGCAGGCGCCTAGGCGAGTGCTGATTGGTTGCCGATGTTGCAGCAACGACGAATGGCGCGTGTCGCGGCTGAGCGACGATTCGTCGAGCGGCGGTAGTGAGGATGACTTCAAGCCTTCGTCGTACAGCGTGCGCCGGACGCGGCGGAAAGGTAAGCGACGCCATCTACTGGAGGAAACATGAAGCTCCCCTGCGACGTGGCGACGTCGGTTTCCTGTTTTTTGAATTTTTTTTACGAATAGTGTCCCGAGTTTAACTTGATAATTTAACTAGTAATTAACTTGTACGTTAATCCCACCAAAAATGTATAAACTACGACAATGCGATGCTGTACAACGAAATAGAGATGGGAACGAAGTTTGGCCTTTTTAATTTCTAAATTCGGTTCAGAATTTCTTAATTCCTTTTCGAGAGGAATTCCTAGGGAATTCCCACATTCGCTTTGAATCCCCCGTCCCCCCCTCGGCCGCCCGCCCGGCCGCTCGCGAACGTAGAGCGGCGCCGCGACTGCTAGTTCTCGTTTTGCTCCGCAGGTCGTGTGATGAAGAGCAGGTCGTCGAGAAAGAACGTGCGCAAGTCTAAGCTGTCTGAGTCGTCGGAGTCGGACAGTGAGTATGAGGAGCACAGACATTCCAGCCGGCAGGCTGCATCTAAAGTCAGGTACGCTGCACACAGGTGCCTGTACGCTGATTACCAGCAGCAGCTACCTGTCAGGTACGCAAGGGGGAGATGGGGGGGGGTTAACAGCAGCTACCTGTCAGGTAGGCATGGATGGTCGATTAACAGCTACCTGTCAGGTACGCGGCATGGGAGGGGGGTGATTAACAACAGCATTTCTACTGTCGACGGCTGACGATGCCCATGTACTTGTTACAGTTGATTAATTCATCGCATGCAGGCTTTTGCTAAGAAGTTCCAGGCACTCCAGACTCTCACTCTCTCGATCCTAGGGCTAATACTCTGCATGTCATTGTCATGCACATTCCCACATTGCGAACGTCAGGCAATGCGTTGTATGACTAGCGATAAACGGGCGTAGTCGGGTCTAGACGACGACCGCGCTCGCGTTTCGTTGCCGTGACGACCGCATCACGCGTTGTCGTCGTCTTGCAGCTACAAGGAGGAGGAGAGCGACAACACGGATTCCGATGACATCATGGAGATCGCGGAGACGGCGTCGACGGTACCGGACGATGCGGAGTGCGTCGAGAAGATCATCAAACAGCGCGTCGGCCGCAAAGGAGGTGGGCGTTCGCTTTCCCGTTCCCCCCGCCTGCTCCCCTGTTGTGGCGGCGTCAATGTTCGCCTTCTCTCCTCAAGGTGTCGGCCATAAAGGAGGTGGGCGTTTGCTTTCCCGTTCCCCCCACCTGCTCCCCTGTTGTGGCGGCGTCAACGTTCGCCTTCTCCCCCCAAGGTGTCGGCCATAAAAGAGGTGGGGTTCACTTTCCCGTTCCCCCCGCCTCCTCCCCCGTTGCGGCGGCGTCAACGTTTGCCTTCTCTCCTCAAGGTGTCGGCCATAAAGGAGGTGGGCGTTCGCTTTCCCGTTCCCCCCACCTGCTCCCCCGTCGTGGCGGCGGCAACGTTCGCCTTCTCCCCCCCCAAGGTGTCGGTCATAAAGGAGGTGGGCGTTCGCTTTCCCGTTTCCCCTGCCGCCTCCCCCGTCGCAGCGGCGGCAACGTTCTGCCTTCTCTCCCCAGGGTGTCAGCCGCAAAGGAGGTGTAGTCCGCTTTCCCGTTCCCCCGCCTCCCCCCCCCGTCGCGGCGGCGGCAACATTCTGCCTTCTCTCCCCAGGGTGTCAGCCGCAAAGGAGGTGTAGTCCGCTTTCCCGTTCCCCCGCCTCCCCCCCCCGTCGCGGCGGCGGCAACATTCTGCC